AATTTCGCGTAAAGCTACACAAGGGCTATCTGCGCTAGCCGTCCCTAATTAAGCAGTGTAAGGCTAGAGGGAAGGCAGCTAGTCATCATCATCCACCGCCAACTCTTGGGCTACTATTTTACCAACGAATAGTGGGATTGACCGTCACATTATAACGCCCACACGTCTGAAAGGGCGAGCATGTTTGGTGGGACGGGGATTCAACCCCGCGACCCTCAGATTGCGAGTCGAGCGCTCTAACCAACTGGCCATGCCGGGCCCTGCTGTTTAAACTAAGTCTTAAAAAACACCGTACAAAGGAGGAACATATATATTGTGATTGAATTACGTTTTTAATGCTATAATCTTCAAGAAAAACTTAGTGAGTCCATCAAATTTATTAGAATAAATTAGTAAGATCTATCTGTGAGTGCAAGGTATCTTTACAAACAGTCAAGATCTTGATCCAAACACCGACCTATCTCTGTTTTTTTTAATCAAAACTATCAAAGTAATCAAGAACATTTTCCCTGGGACAAACATCGGTGTTAACTGAATGTTGGGCACATAATGCTACTCAAGTAACTAATTTTATGTTATTGAAATATATCCTCATGATAAACCAACTCCTACCTAATTATCCATTTACTGAAGGACTTGATTCTTTCCTCAGATTTTTTGGATATTTACTCGAAATGATCGTTTTGCCTTTATTGCAATAATAAAAAAATATCAAATCTTTCAACTGTAAATTAACTCCAGGTTCTCCACCCTTTGGTAGAAAACGAAACCTAGCGCTATTTTTGGCAATCCTTATTTTTTCTTACTTTGTCTTTCAAAGACTTCAGTATGATTTATGAAACTCTAGCTTATTTTCGGCATTATAGAGCTCTACATGGTAACTAATTTGTTATTGACAAGGTACCAACATTAAAAAAAGGATTTTTAACTTTCACAGAATAATCACGAAACTTTGAAGGGGACACATTACAAAACAATATGAATTTGTAAAGAATTGTTAGCTCAGGGATTTAGATGCAAGTAATTGTAAAATAGGGACACATTACAGATGAAGACGAACTTCTAAAGAACTGTTAACTCAGAGATTTGGATGCAAATTATTGGCAAATAGGGACATATTTCAGATGAAGATGAACTTATAAAGAATTATTAACTTAGGGAAAGAATTCCAAGTTATTGTTAAATATGGATATATATTGCAGGTGAAGAAGATAACTTCTAAAGAACTGTTTACTAAAGGATTTGTTAACAGCAACAGTAACATTTGTTAACAGCAAACATACTGAAGATGAACTTCTAAAGAACTGTTACCCCATGGGTTTGGATGCAAGTTGTTGTCAAACAGGAAATACATTGCAGATGTAGATGAACTTAAGAAAGAAGTCTAACTCAGGGATTTAGTTACAAGCTATTGAAAAATAGGGATACACTGCAGATGAACTTATAAAGAACTGTTAACTCAGAGATTTGGATGCACGTTATTTTTAAATAGGGAACACTTTGCAGATGAAGGTGAACTTCTAGAGAACTGTTAACTCAGGGATTTGGATGCAAACTTTTGTTAAATAGGGAACTCATTGCAGATGAAGATGATCTTATAAAGAATTATTAACTCGGGGATTTAGTTGGAAGTTATTAACAAATAGGGACACTTTGCAGATGAACATCGAAAGAACTGTTAACTCAGGGATTTGGATGCAAGTTATTGTCAAATAGGGAACACTTTGCAGGTGAAGATGACCTTCTAAAGAACTGTTAACTCAAGGATTTGGATGCAAACTTTCGTTAAATAGGGAACTCATTGCAGGTGAAGATGAACTTCTAAAGAACTGATATCTCAGGGATTTAGATGGAAGTTATTGCCAAATAGGGACACATTGCAGATGAACATTGAAAGAACTCTTAACTCAGGGATTTGGATTCACGTTATTTACAAATAGGGAACTCGCTGCAGATGAAGATGAACATATAAAGAATTATTAACTCAGGGATTTAGATGTAAGTTATTACCAAATAGGGACATGTTGCAGATGAACTTTGAAAGAACTATTAACTCAGGGATTTGGATGTAAATTATTGTCAAATATGGACACGTTACAGATAAAGATGAACATACAAAGAATTATTAACTCAGGGATTTATATTGAAACTATTACTAATTAGGGACACGTTGCAGATGAACATCAAAAAACTATTAGCTCAGGGATTTGGATGCAAGTTATTGGTAAATAGGCACACATTTCGGATGAAGATTAACTTATAAAGAATTATTACTTTAGGGATTAAGTTGCAAGTTATTGTTAAATATGGATACTTTGTAAATGAAGAAGATAACACAAAGAATTGTTAATTAATGGATTTATATGCAAGTTATTGGCAAATAGGGAACACATTTCAGATGAAAATGAACTTATAAAGAATTATTAACTTAGTAACTTAGGTGGAGATCATTACCAAATAGGGACACGTTGCAAATGAACATCGAAAAAACTACTACCTCTGGAATTTGGATGTAAGTTATTGACAAACAGTAAACATACTACAGATGAACTTCTAAAGAACTGTTACCTCATGGATTTGGATGCAAGTTATTGTCAAATAGGAGACACATTGCAAATGAAGATGAACCTATAAATAATTATTCTCTCAGGGATTTAGATGGTAGTTATTACCAAATAGGGACGTGTTGCAGATGAACATCGAAAGAACTATTAGCTCAGGGATTTGGATTTAAAGTATTGTCAAATATGGACACGTTACAGATAAAGATTTCAGAGACACATTGCAAATGAAGATGAACTTAGAAAGAAGTCTAACTCAGGGATTTAGTTACAAGCTATTGAAAAATAGGGATACACTGCAGATGAACTTATAAAGAACTGTTAGCTCAGAGATTTTGATGCACGTTATTTTTAAATAGGGAAAACTTTGCAGATGAAGGTGAACTTCTAAAGAACTGTTAACTCAGGGATTTGGATGCAAACTTTTGTTAAATAGGGAACTAATTGCAGATGAAGATGAACTTATAAAGAATTATTAACTCGGGGATTTAGTTGGAAGTTATTAACAAATAGGGACACGTTCCAGTTGAACATCGAAAGAATGTTACTCAGGGATTTGGATGCAAGTTATTGTTAAGTAGGGAACACTTTGAAAATGCAGATGAGCTTCTAAAGAACTGTTATTTCAGAGATTTGGATGCGTTGCAGAAAAAGATGAACTTATAAAGAATTACTAACCCAGGAAATTAGATAGAAGTTACTACCAATTTGGGACACATTCGAAATGAACATCGAAAGAACTATTAGCTCAGGGATTTGCATGTAAATTGTTGTCAAATAGGAATACATTACAGATGAAGATGAACTTCTAAAAAACTTTTAATTCAGGGATTTGGACGCAAGTTATTTTGAAATAGGGAACACACTGGCGGGGAATGTCTAAACAACTGTTGTTCTATAGATTTGGACACAAGTTATTGTTAAATAGACTTCAAAACTATGATCCATAATTAAATATACTGTGATTTAGTTTTTTCAGTCTTAAGTGGTTGCTTAGTATGGGAAAACAAGTGTTTAGAACTTCTAAAATTGAAGTTTGACGATGTACACAATACAGTCAGTTTAAGTTTGATTAAGCTGGACTTGTGTTTATATTGGTTTGCAGTAAGCTATAGATACGTTTGAGTTCATATTAAGATCTTGCTTGTTTGTCAAGATAATACAGGTAAGTTTGGGTTCAGATTAAGGTCTTGCTTGTTTGTCAAGATACTACAGGTAAGTTTGAGTTCATATTAAGGTCTTACTTGTTTGTCAAGATACTAGAGGTAAGTTTGAGTTCATGTTAAGGCCATGCTTGTTTGTCAAGATACTACCGATACGTTTGAGTTCAGATTAGGGTCTTGCTTGTTTTTCAAAATACTACAGTTAAGTTTAAGCTCATATTAAGGTCCTGATTGCTTGTCAAGATACTACAGTTAAGTTCGAGTTTATATTAAGGTCTTGCTTGTTTGTCAAGATACTACAGGTAAGTTTATGTTCAGATGAGGGTCTTGCTTGTTTGTCAAGATACTACTGGCAAGTTTGAGTTCAGATTAAGGTCTTGCTTGTTTGTCAAGATAGTGCAGGTAAGTTTGAGTTCAGATTAAGGTCTTGATTGTTTGTTCAAGTACTACAGGTAAGTTTGAGTTCAGATTAAGGTCTTGATCATTTTTCAAGATACTACAGATAAGTTTGAGTTCAGATTAAGGTCTTGATCATTTTTCAAGATACTACAGATAAGTTTGAGTTCAGATTAAGGTCTTGATCATTTTTCAAGATACTACAGATACGTTTGAGTTCAGATTAAGGCCTTGATTATTTTTCAAGATACTACAGGTAAGTTTGAGTTCAGATTAAGGTCTTGATTAATATTAACTCAAACTTACCTGTACTATCTTGAAAAATAATCAAGATCTTAATCTGAACTCAAACTTACCTGTAATATCTTGAAAAATGACAGATAGGTAGATTGATAGACGGATGGACAGATACCAAGATGAACGGACAGACAAATAAATAGATCAACGAACGGATAGTAAGATAGATAAATGGACGGACGGACAGGATTTTATTTTTTGAAACATTGGAAAGTAAAAGTTTATTTTGTAACGTATCGCTTATAAACAGGTCGGATTTCATTGACAATTTAAAATAATTAGGATAGTAGGCTATTTCACTGAAATGATTTAACATTACTCGACATAGCAACAAATACCCACCTCGCTTTCTATTGCTTTGTTAATTCGGCGTGTTTACAACTTTCTGTTTGTCGTGTATGTGCATAGACAGAGTAAAATAATATTGTCCAGACTACAACCACACATTTCGATTGCATAAAATTTTAATACTTTAACGTATTTTAAACTGTCAAAATTGTTTGCAATTGTTCTATTGTTGTTTAGAAACAGTCTTTATGGAATCCCCTCCCTCCCAGTGGCTCAGCGGTAATCTTGAGAGCTTTTAGCGCTACAATTCAGGTCCGATCCCTGCGGTGAGCAGCACAGATTGTCCATTGCGAAGCTTCGTAATTAACAACAAATAGATAATTTCACGTCTATATGAAGAATAAAAGTACAGAAGTTTGAACTAAAGAAATAGGGACTGAAATCATGACAAGATTAGGGCCTATAACGATATTATCTTTCATCAGAATTTAGAGAAGAAACTAATCAAGAAGCGTGCAGACATTTTATGACTAGGAATATACATAACGTCCTATGTATACCTTTTCTTTTCTTTTTTCCGACGTCACGAAGAAAGTATTCTCCGTTTGGAAATATCATGATCTTCTTTTCAACATAAACATTTATAGCAAATTACCACTTGGAAAACTGATGGAAAATGACGGTTTTATTAAGTGTTACGTCACTCGCGATTAGAGAGACGTCACTTCCTCCCGTTGTTAAACTGCTTGCAAGGAATAGGTCTATGAATCAATCATCACGTGTTATATCCTGGTACATTTAATCATCAAGCATTTACTTTAATACGTCACCAGAAAACAATTTTCTCCTCTGCAGGCGGCGGACACCAGGGTTTGCTATTATATATTATAATAAAGAAAAAGTAGTACACGACTGCCCTCTAGACGTTCGCATCAGAAAAGTTTCTAATTTGTTCTAATCGTCCCACAAATGTTCGTGCAGTAAACTTATAGAGTACGTATACCAGCTGGTGGTTAATTGACAATGATGAAAGATCTTGAAGTAAGTTTCAGAGTCTTACGGAATATGGTCGTTACTTAAGTAGCCCAGCCTATAGACCGTCTAATGACTTACTAACGTCGTTCATTAACATTTATCTTGTTCGTTCGATTTCATCAAGGACTATTATAATTGGCTATGGTAATGTGACTTGGAATGTTGTATCGAATTATCGTCTCTTGTCTTTTGAGTATAAAACAAACAGACGTAGTTTCTGTATTTTGTTTCTCTGTATTGCTAATTATCTGCACGTGTTTGTAAATCATTGTTATTTTTATTTTTCTGAAAAACAGATTGCATTCATTAATCTGAATAAATTACTATAAGACACCAGTACTTTAATTTTAACTCAAACTTACCTGTACTATCTTGCCCAACAATCAAGACCTTTTTCTACCTATTTGTCTGTCTATCCGTCTATCAATATACCTATCTGTCTTTCTACCTATTTGTCTGTCTATCCGTCTATCAATATACCTATCTGTCTTTC